TCCTCCTTCTCAATACCCTCAGCCTCATTTCATGTACTGAACTTGAATAAGTGGATCACATGAAATATGTTGCTATAATTTTTGGTTTTGTAGAAGTTAATCTGCGAAGTCACAGTTGTGTTTATCGAAATGTGTCATATTTTATCCCAAATGCATAATCAACGTGAACGAAAGTACGCCAGCTGTGGTCTAGAAAATGGTGATGCGCCGTGCTTCTGTTTCCCATTACAGCCTGTGACAACATTTGAATGCGTTCGAGTCTTATACAATGTGCAATATGGGCAGCCGAGCTTTTTTACTCGTTCAAATAATGTGACATCATCGTTTTGAACGTAAAGGGAAATGCACTTTTGGTTCGTTAATATAGAAATCAATCCGTATGGGTGAGATAGTGGGCCCTCTAGCTGCAGTACTTTCCGCCAGCGCCCCTCTCTTGCGGTTGAAAGTGAGCGCGATTACATCAGTCATTAGGGCATATGACCTGGAGGACAATTACAGAACTAAAATTACATGCAAGCTGACCGTTTGCTTCGTCGGCTCCGAGCTTTGTTTGCAGAACAGCATATGGTCCCCGAGGTTACGGAACATCATTAGCGCCACTTCGTCACTTGAGTGACGACCTGTGTTTGACGACCAGGTTTCTCGGCCAAATAACACGCGCACTGCTTCTTTACGCCCTATTCGTCAACGCAGAACATTGAACTGTTCGTATCAGAAAGCATACTGTTCGAACGCAGGAGTGGAGTGCAGGCACTGGATGTACTTACAAGCGATCGCCTCTCGTTCATCGGAGTCATTGCCGTCCATCGGTCAGTTGTTGGGTTATACTTCTCAACTGAATTCAGTGATCGTTCTGACCCATCCTCTCCTCCTATTGCACACAAATGCCCATCTAGTGCACTGCATGCCAGGTATCTTCGACATGTTGACATCGGGCGAACCTTTTCCCATTTGCCAACCCGTGGGTCTAACCTGAACGTGAGTACCATACGGAATGGAACAGTAGGAGCATGGCTGAGGGAATTTAATCAACAGTACGGTATGGGATCAAGCATCCGTTGAGGGATCTGCAATGGATGCTTGACCCTGGCAAAAAAATCCCTGCGACACTTTGACCAGATTTCCTCAGCAAAACAAGATCATTTTGAAAGTATTCATCTTATTAGCGAAGAGTGTTCTCTGAAGTTTCTGGAGAAGGGTATATTATGCTTTTGCACAAATTAGAGCCTGAAGGTCCCCAAAGGTCAAGGCATTTTTGACCAATCCCATATTATTAGGTTGTCGCAAAAGTTCGTGAACATTTTTTGAATCTCGTATCTTTCCTTAGCCATTTGGAGATCCAGTTATGTGGTCTATGGGAAGTGTGTTAAGTAAGCATCCCACAGCTTCTTTACCGTCCCTCGCAGTCGCTGTTCTCATATGAAAAACGGTAATTGAAATTCATCATTTTCGACACACTTCGCTATATGAATCTCCACCAAGCCACAACGTGGTTGGAAGCCACAAGCAGCATTTCCCCCAGTTAGGCTGCGTTTATACTTTGCGGCAGCGTAGCGTAGCGCTTCCAGCGTACGCCAGCGGCAGTGCCGGGAGAGGATGCATATCGATCTAGCGTTCCCAGCGTCACCAGCGTAACGCTAGCGTACGCTAGCGTTAGCGTTTCGCCAGCGTTTCACCAGCGTTTTGCTAGCGTTTGCAGCGGCAGGGGAGTAGAGACTATGGGAGAGCTGGAGGGTACAAAACACATCGATTGCGCGTCTCTGACGGCCACATAGTCTCTACTCCCCTGCCGCTGCAAACGCCAGCAAAACGCTGGTGTGAAACGCTGGTGACGCTGGGAACGCTAGATCGATATCCATCCTCTCCCGGGGTTGGAATGATTTTTCCTACAATTTGATCCCAGAACCGAGCACTAGGTTTCATGACTCCACAGAGCGTTAGGTCACACGTTGGGAAATGCATCGCCCGCTCTTTGAAGCTTCAAAACTAGTGGAATTCTCACCCTACAGTCTTCGTGCAGCCGTGACTAACTTCTTCCCGATTCACCATCTAAAACTATCTCACAATCCACACCAGACATCACTTGTTTGCTATCATCGACACTCGCACACACCACCACTACACACAATAAAAAACAACACACACACACACAACCACCACATAATATAAGGGCCAACACACGAAAAATGTATAGTAGCAAAGTTTTCGCACCCCGGACGAGAACGTGGATAAAAGTACCCCAGGGGAGAATACCCCCAGATTCTCTCGATGAAGCACACGCAGCTGTCTCCGCCTCCGAACGCCACCTCGCATCCGCCGCACACCATCACACCCATCACACTCTCACACACCACCACACACATCCCACTGAAGCTCAATCCCTACCCCCCCACCTCAGCCCCACCACCACCCACGCATGCGTCGACACCAGCACACCCCCTCCCGCGCACATCTCCATGCCTCAACTCCCGTCCACCCCCTCCCGAGCAGCTGGCGAAACTTCTAGGTATGTGAGTCTGTTCTGGCTGCCCACCAGAACCCCCCCCTACCGCGTGCATCCTTTTAAGACTGAGTGATTGGACTATGTACAACCCCCCCCCCACCCACATCCCTGGCGACCACCACCATTGAGACATGTGATCTCACACCTCCGCACCCACCTCCAGCTCAAATAGTTAGATACTCGATGTGTCGACCCTCCTGTATTGAGAGGCCCCACACCTAGATTAAGTCGGGCATTCTACAATGTCCACCCCCACACCGAGAACCCCCACCTATCACAGACAGAGCAACACACCACCTACCACCGAGCCCCCCACACCCACACCCGCTCTCACTCACATTGTATCTCCAATACGCAGCACTACAACGAGACACCCGTCTCGTCAATACAGGTATATAAACTTCATAGACGACTACACATCCAGGACCAGCTACCTGGAGACCAGTACTCTCCCGTCTGGAACCTCCCATAATCCGGAGACCTCACGCACCGACGTCGCCACGGTCTGAGGACAATCATCTCCATGCAGTCGCCGAGGCGAGGCAGAGACTCTGAACGGTTGACCCGGCGCACCCCCCTGACTGGCCGAAGACCGATATTTTTTCCCCTCTCGCTCCCACGCACCCCGATGATTGGAAGGTTAGCCGCTGACGGTCACCATCGAGCACTCGAGAGACGTATCGTCCCCCCATGTCGTTGCCGTACACCATTCATTGGAGTGGCAGGGCTTTAGTACCAGAAACCACACTCGCGACTCGGACAGGGCGCTGCTACTCTCGGCAGTGCGAACCCGCGCTTCTCACACGAGTACCCCCACAGCACACCACACACCAGCACTCGACAGCTCACCTCTCACCCCCGCTCACGCACATCATGAATAAAAACTCACTCGGGTTCGGTGGAGCCTCACAACACACAAGGTGTCTACAGTGGCCGCGAACTACTATCTCGCTAAGCCAGGTGACCCACTAACGGTTGCGCCTCGGCCACCCACGACCATCTTCGACGGCCCCCCGCGCCTCCACTCCCCACCACGCCACACCGCATCGCCTCGCGACGCGCACGTATCATGATACGTATTCAATAGCTCTTTAATCACTCCTCAACACTCAGCTCTCACGCACTCAAGAATTACTAGATACACAGATCGCTCAAACTTATACAACGCACTACGAATCGTAAACACGAAAAGCTACGAACTTTCATTGGCCTCCCTTATATATACCATTTTCACTTTAAATTCACCCTTTTCAAACCAAATTCGTCCTTTTTCAAACCAAATTCGTCCTTTTTCAAACCAAATTCACCCTCACTTTTCATCAAGTTAACCACACTTATTAGGGCGGGCAACTCATCAACCAGATCACGCCAGACATCACTGCGAGCCCGCCCCGACGGCCACGCCCACTTGTCAGCGCGGACATAGATTCTCAAATCTTGTTTCATAACTTCTGCTTTTGCTGTTTCCCACAAACACTTTGACTGGAAACCACCGTGCATTCACACATGGCCGACTCCGCCCATTCTCTAAAGGGTTTGGCACTCTAGGCTGACCACGCCCACTGGCTTTTCGCGGAATTTCGATGTATTCCAAAAAGTTTGCATTTCAATTTTGCTGCGTGAAGCTCCGCCCATGTGAGATGCTCTGCCCACTTTGAACGAGCCCCGCCCACTTTTCAAAAATGGTGCACATCGGCAGTATAGAGACTTGGCTTGCATGTTAGGGTCTCGTACGTCACTCGGAACAAGAAAATCCGGCAAAGTTTATTCCGAATGATCAGCAATACCCTAACATGCAAGCCAAGTCTCTACACTGCCGATTTGCATCATTTTTGAAAAGTGGGCGGGGCTTATTCAAAGTGGGCGGAGCATCTCACAGTGGGCGGGGCTTCACGCAGCAACCCTAAAAATGCAAAAATTTTGGAAAATAAACATGAAATTGCCGCGAAAGAGCCAGTCTGGCTTGTCACCTAGAGTGCCAAACCCTTTAGAGAATGGGCGGAGTCGGCCATGTGTGAATGCACGGTGGTTTCCAGTCAAAGTGTTTGTGGGAAACAGCAAAAGCAGAAGTTATGAAACAAGATTTGAGAATCTATGTCCGCGCTGACAAGTGGGCGTGGCCGTCGGGGCGGGGCTCGTGATGTCTGGCGTGATCTGGTTGATGAGTTGCCCGCCCTAATAAGTGTGGTTAACTTGATGAAAAGTGAGGGTGAATTTGGTTTGAAAAGGGGTGAATTTGGTTTGAAAAAGGACGAATTTGGTTTGAAAAAGGACGAATTTGGTTTGAAAAAGGACGAATTTGGTTTGAAAAAGGACGAATTTGGTTTGAAAAAGGACGAATTTGGTTTGAAAAAGGGTGAATTTAAAGTGAAAATGGTATATATAAATGCGAACCTTTCTCAGGACGAAAAGATTATATATGAAAAACCAATCCGAGCGCGACTTGACATTTCGATGGAACTTCTGTCATGACGAATCATATCACTCAATGTGGGACTCACCTCTCGACAGTTTTCAGAACTGATGCTCCGTCAAAACCTCCGACGGCATATAAACAGCCCCTGAGCGCGGACACAGAGAGATCTCGTCGAGGGGTATGCAGAGGTGCCACATTAGTCCATACGTTTTCCCCGAGGGTCGTACCTGCAATGACCATACATAACATGAGCGTAAGTGGGCCATACCAGTTTTTACCGTTCAACAACATCCAGAGTCGTCGTTCCATCTGAACCACCAGTTACGTAAAGGAAGCCGTCCAATTCAGTCGCTTTGTGGTAGGCTCGACCCACAGACATTGGCGCGATGTCAGTTGCAAATTGATTAACAATAGGAACAAATCTTAAGCTCTCTTTGAAAGCAGTAATCGATTTGTATTATCTTCTAGTACTCTACTAGGATCTGCCTATGTGACAGGGATGCAGTGGTCGAATGACCCACTACACGCACGTGGTCCGGGAGTCAAATCCCGGACCTGCTCAGCCTCAGGCGAACTGGGCCTTCCATTTCAGAGGACGGTGAGTTGATCCCAGTTTCGTCTCGTAGAATAAAAACGCTGAGTTTACGTCGGCTGGCTCCCACGGATCATTGTGTAGCATTTATTGGGTCGGATCATGAGTAATAACATTTTTTCTCACTCTAAATAGGGGCGCTGGGACTGTTTGCAGAGAATATCTTGGCCCTAAGGCAGTTACATACCGTTTTTTTCCGGACCACCTTTCACTAGTATTTAAACGCTCAAACTGGGCACCTAACTAGAAAGCTGAAACTGCACATGTCTAATTGATAAGTGTATGGCAGACAGGGTACAGCATGGGTGTGCGAAATGGCGGTGTGAGTACGATCCCCCCCCCCCCACGGAGAGGGTCCGATTACGACCCCTCCCCTTCCGTTCTAACTGACATCCATATGTTGGTTCATAACGAACAAATCGAACATCCTACAATGGAATCCTACTGTATAGAGCAACTCTATAACAAGGAACCGTTAGATTTACACACGCAAAACAATGATGCTAATTTTTAAGCAAAATCTAGTGAAAAAAATTCCAAAGAGTCAGTGTGTCGAGCAAACAGACTGCAATGCAGTGGATGGTGAGGGGAATCTGCCCCCGGCGCGTACTCTTCTGTAGAAGTCATCCTCTACTCCGTGGAAACATTGCAAAGACACGAAAACACAAAACACAAAAAAAAAACTGATAAACTATAGGTTTATCTTCAAAGTGTGGCCGATGCGTTTTTTTTTGAATAAAAAAAAGAGGAGAATAGATAGAAAAGTGATATTTTAGCTTTAGGATGAGTAAATCCCTTCTTCACCAATGACCCGCTCCCAGTGCCCCGAGGGCTTTGGACCTCTGGTACCTCGATTTTTCAACAAGTGTGAGTAAATTGCTGTTGTTGCCAATTTCGGCAAATGACAAAACATTGTAGCGTCTGCCGTCGAAGAGTACTCTCTACTGAATAGAACAGTTGTAATCGCATGGCTTTATGACGGGCGAATGGGACGATTGAACTCAGGTCTCAGTATTGTTTGTGTCCCAGCACTGATCTACAATACAGTTACTCGGGGTCTGGCACTATGACGAGCAACGGTGGCCTTCTTAGTTGTGTGGTAGCATCCATTTGTCGATCTGAATGCCGAGGAACAGGCAATATGCACCGACAGTGACGGATTTGTCCTCTGTAATAAGAGCCGCTGAACAGCACAGTGTGGGATCTCTTCGCTATGCATTGATCAACCACTCGCCCACGTAACTCTTCATCGGTAAGAACTCCCGGGCGACTTCATTCCATCCTGCACTTCATAAGAAAAATTGACAGCTTGTAGATTTCGGCTCGAGGTCCGAGACCACCCATATTTCATCTAGGGCCGGGGTGCGTTTTCACAGTTGTGAGTGACATCTCATGCTGAGAACATTACTGCTGGAGGTATAGAATCGGTACTGCGTTCGTGCTTCTATAAGAAAATTGGGTACCCTCATGCGCCACCTCTCCTGACCATCCTCCGGTTTCATCGTAATACTCGGGCAGTTGTTGCAGCTGTGAGATGTTCCAGAACGTCCCGCCGGGAAGCTCGACAAGGGTCCAGGCTCTGTGATCAGATATTCAGTGCCTGACTTCATCCACCCGTTTTTCTTGTGCAGGATGAATATTATGGGACCACCCACGACAAATTTTTTCCTTTCTTCCTTGTACGGGCTCCTGAAACCAGATTCTTCCACGTTGTATTTTCGAGCAACCACAGCTAACACAACTATCGTCCGGCGCAGGTCAAATTTGAGCAGCGCACTTTCCTTTTATGACGTCTGATTTGAAAAACCGGCGCCGATTTTCACCACTCGGGCTTCTCTTCAATTTTTCGAGAACTTCTTTCGGAGGCTAGTTTCGCCAATTTCACCGATACAACAGCTTAAGCGTCACGCTTCCAATGGTACAGTAGCCCGACTTGCCCTATCCCCTTGCTTTCTCTGCCATCTCCTCTACATGATCCCGCGCCTTTCGAATCGGGATGACGCTAAATAACTAACAACCCGGCCACTTTGAATGGGATGACCTAATAAATAAAAAATGGATCACTAGGCAGCAGTTTGTCACGGCGGTCGCAACGTTGCGACCGCTTTACTGGAAAAACGTCATTGGAGCGCAGTTGTTGGCCCAGCTACCGTCCTGGGGTCTTTTCGGAGGTTATTCTCTTTTAGGTGCGGAGCTTTTGAGGAATGGTGAGCAGCATGCAACGGCAAAGTTTCTACTGTTGTGTATTCTACCTAGTTGCAAACTGAACAATCCCCCGTTGGTGAAATATTCCGGATGGGTTTTGGATAGGCTAGGGGTAAATCGCAAGCTCTTCATGCTTCACACGAGGATTACTTATTTCAAACGCAATTTCATCAGGATCAAAACCCTCTTCAAAGCGCCCTATCTTTTCTCTTTCCAAAAGCTGAATAGTTTTCCTGAAGATCCGCTAGTTCAGGAGATATTTTAGATGGGTTACCAAAAGCTAGTCTCTGAGCCACTCAAAAGTTGGACTCCTTCCGTGCCATCATGAGGATACTCATTCAAGAACTCCAATATGCCTTCAAAACACATATTCCCGCTCAAATGAGTGAAAGAAGAGCTTGGTTATCATCGATCGATTTGGTCCGAGTGTGCGCCGTGCATTACGCTTCTACGCAGAGTGGTGGAAAGGTGTAATTCTGATTTTAGGTGATTTTTGTCCATGCAAGCAGATGTGTTAGGGTTTGGAAAGGACAATACGCACGAATCTGTTTGAGACGTATTATTTAGTCATCTACGTACTTACGAGTTCATGCTATTAACTGATATATATACTATTATATTTGCTAATCAAATTTTTATTATTTTGTAGTCTTCCTAACATCCGGGTCTTCTGCAGCTTTCCGTTCGTTCCATCAAACTTAGCAATGACACTTTTGTGCCGTTTCATGCTCGCCGACCCTCCGTTTGCGACCTTCCCCACGTTCCCTGCGGCCAAGTGCGATCCCCTTTCTGGGGATTTCGCACGAAAAGAAGGCTGATGAACGGAGCGCTTGAGTCTGTCGAGAATACACTCATGAAAATTTTCACATTTTTTAACATCACGGCTTTTACCTACTCCTTCTCTCAACTGAAACGTCATAGCGTTGTCCGGTGCTGACTGAACCTTGAAATTACGACCCCCCCCCTCCCCAGCGGCCAAGTACGACCCCCCCCCTATGGGTTTCGCACAACGATGCTAAAACGATGCTTGATGGCAGAGGCTATATCTTAGAAATGTTTACAGCGGTTTAGGTGATTCGATGGTGTCCCGCAGACAACCATTGGACCTAATGCCCTATTGAGTCCAACTTCGAGCTTACTCGTCTTATTTATGGGACTTCATAGGAATGAGAAATCGTTAGAGGTCAATGCTTCTTTATCATTATCGAGCATCACTCTCGGTTAATGTTATACGTTCGGAGTAAATGGGAAAGGTACATCGCTTCCCAAGTAGCCTCCCCCTACCATGCACATTTACAAGGTCCTAGTCGTTCTCACTCCTTGATCGTTTGAACCATCTTCGGGCTAACATAAAAAACATTTTTCTTTCATCATATATATTAGGTTGGACGAAAAGTCCTGCGACACTTTGACCAAATTTTCGGACCAAATTTTCCTTCACTAAAAGACATCCAATCTACAAGGTAACCACAGTTGATGACTAGGACTAGTGCCCTTTCTTTTGCACAGCTTCTCATTTCCATTCTCATAGAACTACGGCAACTATGATAAGAAGAAGAGGTGGACCTCATTTTCGAGTAGACGTCGATTTTCGGAATTTTCGCTTTCTAAAGGATGCGGTAGGGATCAAAGGAGGTGGTAGTTAGAGGCTGCTAACTTTGTTGAATAAGCTGGGTACGGTCGCATTGCCTGATCGAGATCCATGAGTGTAGCCCGATCTCCACATGCGGCCTCCTTATTGCCGACTAGTAGAGAAAATCGAGTATTTCTGACGAATTCGAGGCGACGTCATCCAGCGTGATGTCGATTCAAGGTGGACTGTGGTCCTTACAACGGTGCTAGTATCCAGTGATACCGCTTTGAAGTCCCACCAATAACACACTGAAATCTTTATCCCATGCACATCTGCTTTTGGCTAAGCAATCTACTTTTCTTTGAGAGATCCTGCGAGGGACATGTGCATGATGTACGCAAGGGTTCTTCGGTGTGCAAGGAAAAAGAAAACTCAGTCACGGTCATTCGGTATGACTTGTCAGACGGGTCCAACTCATGAGGCATCCAAAAAATTTTTCCGATAACCGAGATTGCGGAGAAGCATGGCAGTTGTCAGTTAGGTGGAGCCTAGAGAGGTTGCCAACTTACTGGTGGTTACGTTCGGCTGCGAACGGCCGTCATTCTGTGCTGGTGGCCGACCTATACATTGCCTACCTCCGAATTAAATAAGTCCAGCTTGGAAGCGCTGATGCAAAAGCTACCCTCTGCCATGGCAAGCGATATCCTTCCTCAAGACAACGTAGGTGGTAGCTTCCTCGACTAAGCCGGAGTGGCCCTACAGGAACTCATAATATGGGATAGGTCGAAAAGTACCTCGATCTCAGGGGGGCTAATGCCGTTTGGACTCCAGCAACTTTGGCACCGAGCTCATTTTTAAATTGTCT